TTTTTTTTTTTTTTTTGTCCTTTTAGTACTTAATTTTTCATTCCTTTAGTTCCAGTCTTTGTATAATTCCTGTCTTAGTCATGTTTGCTTACCACTGGGATTCAATACCCAACACATCAAATTACAGGAGAAGGGGTTACTTGGGCTGATGTTTCAGAAGTTCAGTCTTTATGGTCCCCAACACTGCTGACGGCCTGGGTGGAGGAAAGCTACACCCCATGGCTGACAGGAGGAGGGAATGAAGGCAGAGCCAGGAAGGGAGATGGAGCCTTCCAGGCCATAGGAATAGGAAAACCTAGGAGATGTTTTTCTTTTTTTTGTAAAGAGGTTTAGACAATTCTAACACTATGTAACAAACATAAAAGTTGGATTTTTTGTTGTTGTTGTTGCTATTTTCATTTTTTCTACTTAGGTGCTATCGATGCCTCATTTTTCTGTAATTGTGTGTGTAGTCAAGGGATGATGATCCAAAAATAAACATAAAAATGTAAGAATAAGTTGCTATTATGGCTTGTTTAAAGCCTCATTCGGTCAGAGGTAGGTTTTTTCAGAGGAGGCTGAATCTAGAGTGTGACTAATTTATGGTGCAATGCTAGGATTAAGGGTTGGTGATTACTAAATCAGTCCACTGACTGGTTTGGCACCACCCGTGTCACAAATAAAAAGAGTATAAAAGGGGCAGAAAAAACTGCTAAGGTCCGTGGCTTTTTTGGTATGCTACCTTCTGTCCACCATGAACTATTTCTACTGTGACGCCCCTTTGCCATGCCACCCTGCCTTGGAGTCAGCCAATTATGGACTGAAACCTCTACAAACTGTGAGCTAAATAAATCTTTCCCCCTTTAGCTTTGGGTGTCAGGTATTTGTCTCAGTAACAAGGGAAAAGCAACTAATATAGAATTTATAAGTTAATCTCTTAAAAATAAAGTCAGTCATACATTTCTCTTAAAAAGTCATATTATTTTTTTTAAACCCAAGAAGAAAATTCCTGTTTTGAAGTCCCTGACTCCTAAAGCCCCTACTGAGGTTGATAAATATATCTTAGTGCTCCTGATTTCTATCTGAAAAAATTTCCACTGTTTATATATTAATTTTGTGAAACATAAGAAACCATACAATAGTCAAGAACTCCTGAAGAAGTTCTTTTAACTATTCATTTTAAATAACAATCACATTGTTAAAATAGTTCTTTGTAATTAGTGTAAAATATAGTCTGGATTTCCTTTAAATTTCATAAAAGTTCTACTTCTTTGGAGTGCTTCTCTAATAAAATGATGAATGACAATAGCATAATGGTTGATACTAACACATTACACTTTATAGCTCCTAAGAGGTGGCACAAGTATTTTATTACAGGTTTCATTTCCTTTATCAGTACCATGAGGTTAACAGGAGAGATGTATTCTTTTTCATGAGAATTTAAAACACAAAAGAGATAAATACCATTTCCACATTTTATGTGTTCATGAATATTTGTTTATAAATGGGAGGATGTTTATTCTATACAGATGCATCACTTATGTATCTATTTTAAGCAAGGTATTCTGCCCCTTAAAAGAAACATTTATATCCTCCTAGATATGTTAGGTGCCAATAATTACCAACTTTTACCCTTATTTTGCTGAATTTCACTGAATCTCGGAAAAGTACTCCAGGAAAAAATAAGCACATGAAATAATTTGAAGTGATACTGATTCATTTTGACTTAAAAATTGTCTTTTGGGCTGGGGATTTAGCTGAGTGGTTCCACTGCCTGCTTGGCAAGCGCAAGGACCTGAGTTCCATCGCCGGTACCAAATAAAATAAAATAAAATAAATAAATAAATAAAAAATAAAAATAAAATAAAATAGTCTTTGACCTCAAAAAACTTACAACTTGGGAATTAGAATGTAGATAAGTAATATGCAATGGAGAATCCGCAATGACAATCTTTGGAAACACCTGCCTACAATTAAAGATCCAAACTCCTGTAGGTTATTAGACAGACCAGGGTTTGCAGAAGTCCAGGCCACAGTATTCTCGTCGCTGAGTTTTACACACAGCTGTGATGCTTTGCATCCATTCTGATCACTATCTGCTGTGAAGTGAGGCAACGATGAGACCTGCTTTAAGGAACCCCTACAAGTGTCAGCGCTGAAAACTGAAACTTAGCCTTGTTTGAAATCTTGCTGTGTATGGTTACAGTAGCTGAAAGTGACATACCTGCCCCAGGCGGCCTCACTGGTAGAAGCTTTATTAACTGGAACACAGGAGGAGTCAACAACAGCTGATCTGTTCATCTTGTAGCAGAAACCGCAGTTTGGATCCAACATGCATTCATTACAGTAACTGAAAAAAGGAAAAGAGTTACAAGGATGTTGGCAGAGACAATAGGCACTCACCATACACTGGATGCCAGGTACTTTCATGCATTTCCCAGTCTGTTTCTCAGTAAGCTTGGGCCTTGGGCCTAGGCAAGTGATACATGCTCAGTCTGGTGACAGCCAGCTGCCTGCTTCCATCTCTGTCTCCTGGCTTCAGCAATCCTGGAAGCCATCTTACCATGGAGAAGGCTTGGATTCAGAGACTGGATGCAGAAGCCCCAGTCAACCTACCAGAGATGAATCTGCTTTCCTAAATCACTAAGATTTGTTAGCAAACCACAGATTGGTCCATCTTGATCCAGGTCTGATTGGTTCTAAATTGTGTCAAAGCACTTATTTCTCATAATTGTCTCCTTCAGGTACCATCTATTTTAAAAACTGACCAAGACCTATTATGTAAAGGCACAAGAGCCCAGTGATGAATGTAACTGTGCTGTATACCTAAAAAGTACCAATAAACTCAATGAGAAAAAAACCAAAAACTGAGAAACAGCCACCCCTTCTAATATATCCTAAAACAGAATATGTAAATAATGGAAAAAGATGCTTATAGAAAACAGTTAACAAAAGTACTATCACCCCAAATATGGCCATTTCTAACATCTTGATGAGCATTTTACACTACAAATAAATACGTATATACATGCACACCTATACGTGTATAATATAATTACATTTTAGGTCAGGCAGATCAGTAACAGAAAGAGGGAGAAAGGAAGGGAGAGAAGGAGGTGGGGGGGAGAGGGAGAGGCACTAAAAATGAATGTCAATATTTTTGCTCCTTGGTAGATAAAAGTCAAGAATAAGAAACAAGTGTATGACTAAATAATGCCAATACAATAGAAAATAAATATGAACTACCTAAAGGTCAGAGGCCTTTAAGAATTGGGAATATTTTTAGAGGTGACATGTGAGCTAAACAATAAAAGACATTTGCCAGGCAAAGAAGACACTTCAGAAAAGAGAACGAACAACATTTCAGAGAACTGCTTATTATTAAAGATTCATCAGGATGTAGAATAATAAGTATCTACTCTGTACAAGTAATTATACTGTGGTGTAGCAGCAGAGAAACAAGTCTTGTGAGAAGACATCTGAAAGACATGCAAGTCATCTAAAAATAGACGTGAGGGGCAATGTTTCAAAATTATCTTTTTGGTTCACTTAAGTAAATGTGAAAATACTGCCATTGCTTAAATTTAAATTTATTATTCTTTTAGCCTCTTTCGGTAAACTTTTCCTCTGGTAAACAGCCATCTCTATTTTTGAATGAGGCTTAGGTCCTAGACAAAAAACAAAAGTGGCCTTTTAAAGCCTCCTAAAAGGTTAATAAACTTTAGAGAAGTTATTCGACAATATAAATATAAAATTGCCCACATCAGTGTTAAGCAAGTAAGTACAGAGATTATCGGCAGCAGAAATAACCAACCCAAGCTTTGCTTCTGAGAACCAGACTAAGTTAATATGGAAAGGAAAAGAAATGGAATTGGTGTTTTGCTTGTAAATTTTGCCCATATAAAGTCAAATGTAAAAGCTCTAATTGTTCCAGTGGCCTTCACTGGTATTCATTTAGAAAAGGTCAACTCACCCATTTGCAGAAAAATGGCTCTATACTTTATTTCTATGAAAACATATTGTTCCCATAAAAGTCCAATGACTACTAGCTACGAGAAATGAACTGCAGTATGTACACATCAGACATACATTATCCAAGGGGATAATTACCTCCGCCAACATTCAGTCTGACCACAACCTCCACCTTTACAGATTTCTTATTAAATTACCACCCCATTGCCTGCTATGTGCCAGGCACTAGTCCAGGGGCCAGGAGAAAGATTTTGGAGAAGATAATGATTTCTCTTCCCTCAAGGAGATGGTCTGGATGGCAGACTCTCTGTAACTGCTAAGTCACTGACTCCTCCACCAGTACTCACTTGTCTACTCATTCGTTATTTTCTGTCCTTTGGCTTCTTCCTCATCCACTTCATTGACCACGGCCATCATCTCAAAATTCTAAATATCCCTGCTCTTCTGTCATTCCATCTCACCCACTGGGCGAAACCCAACCACATATGAATGCAAACCAACACCTATCTCTTCTGTGCCTTCACTCACAAAGCCAAATGTAGCTGAAAGAAGCACATTATAAAGCAGGAAAATCAGTAGTTCTCGTATAATTCACAAACACCAGCCTCAAATACAGACTGAATAAGACTAAAAGTTTTAAGGGTTTTTCCCTAGTTAATTGTACACAGGACTATTTCAATCACCTTATAGGAAAATTTTCTCAATTTCTCATTTTCCTCAAACCTTCAGTGTTCCATTTTCCTATACACTACAAGTAACTTCAACTCCGACCTGAGGAAGTAAATGGCAGCTGAGAGCAATTTTATTACCTGTCCAAAGAAACACAGGAACCATCCACCCCAGCCTATCCTACTGTCTAGTTACACTGAGAAGCTGATCTTACCCTAGGGCCAATTTGTCTTTAGCCTTTCTTTGGCTCCATCTCTGACCCCTTTGATTTTTTGTCCTTTCTTTCTCTTACCCACACAGTGTCTTCAGGTGACGTTTAATTCATCAATTTGAGATCATCTGTTTTAATACCAGCATTCAAAAGTATATAGTTGCCTCTAAGCACTGCTTTAGCTGCATATTTACTATGCTGCATCTTCATTTTCATTCACCTCAAAACTATTTCCTAATTTATCTTACATCTTCTGGGACTTATTGGCCACTTAAAAGTTGGCCAGTGGAACAAGAAGAATCTGAGCACAGGCACTGCTGAGTTTTCCCATTTATCATTAATGATACCCTTTGGTTCTCCAACGATATTTCTGTATCAGTATCCTGTGGTCCTCTGGGTCTTCATTTCTGAAGGTTCTCATGTGGTGTAAATGTTTAAAAAGTTTTAAAAGTCTGGTTTTAATAAATCTGTCACATTTAACTTCTTTCTGCTAATCTGACATTAAGGGTGTCAGTCATTACCTTTGGGTTGGGTACAGAAAAGATGTTACTTTCTCTCTCCTACATCTTATTTCACAATGGAAACTATAAAATATTAGGCATGAACTTTCTTAGCATTATACTCAAACATCAGTCATATCTATGCCATCTAGTTTCCTCCAGGATCCGGTATGGGTTCCAAGTAATCTGTGGAGGGTTCAGTTCTCCTGCTATGAGGGAACAGGCCACTGTTTGGGAACTGACATTGCCAGTCTTGAACTGGACTTGGAGCTCTCAGACTTCAGGAGGCAAAATGAGATTTCCTGCCAGTTTCTCATCATTGACCTGAACTACCCATTATAAACACTACTTGCTAAACATTCCTAATTTCAACTTGACATTTTGAAATACTTTAAGTATCTCAAGGATTTTCTAATTGACATTTTACAGAGAGCATATATTATAACCACGGCCCCAAGAAATGGCATCAGAGAGAAAAAAAAAGAGAATGTCTAGAAGTGGTTAGCTGTATTTCTCACTCATGAATCTCTCTTTAAGACTTTCTTGAATATAACCTGATGAATTTATATACCATTTTTTAAATGTAAAAACTAAGAATTTAAATACAATGGCACAAGAACCATTCCTTTTAAAAATATTCTAAACAGAGATTAAAAGATTTACTTTCTTGTGAGAAACAGATAAAGTTTTAGGCCTGATTTTCCCCTTTTACAGTGTAATTTAAAGGACCTTGTAAATTTCAGACTTCAAGTTTTCTATTCCAGCCCTAAGACCCATGTACTTCTTCTAAGAGTCTACATAAAAAAGATAAATTACATTTAACTCCAAATTCAAACTTTAAGAAAGTAGACACATAATGTTGTAAGATCTCAAAAATACTGATTTTACTGATTTCAAATGCATAAATACTGTATAGTTGTTCTATTTTAAGAAATTTTATATTTTTAAAAGAAATGAGTTAGGAAGGCATTCATAAATGGATTGTGCTTTACAAAAGGAACTGCTGAATGAACTTAAAAAATGGGGGCTCTTTCCTAGGGAGGTACAATTATTTTGAATTTCAGATAAATTCAGATGCAATAAAGTCAGTGAAGATGATCGTCTGCTTTGCTCTAAGCACGCCTCTTTTGTAGAACTTATGATGCTTTTTAGTGATTGGTTTCAAAATTCGGGGCTGTGCCAAGTCCTGAATTTTATGAGGCCCTGAGAGACAGGACCCTGCTGCACCTCTGCACCTGCAGAGCAGGATCCAGCTCACTGGCAGCTGGATCCCAACACAGGTTAGCTGGGTGTCTCGCTGCACAGCAGCTCCAACAAGCAAGGCAGACCATTAGCTTGTTCCTGCCCATTCATGGAAGAAACTCTGGGGGTGATGTGTGGACCGAGACTAATGTGTCATTTATAGAATGAAATAAATAGGTAAAACTCAGGGTACCTTAAGGGACAGCCTTGCTTTCAAACTGCTAGAGGCAAAGTTGCCATTAGGTAAACATTCAATCATCAGCCAAACTGACAGAGAGTAATAACAGTGATAATTCACTTTCAGAAACACTAACTGCCAAAGGCCAATTTCCTTAAAGTCCACACAGAAGGGCCACAGGAAAGCAGGGCCCTCCTTTAAATTACAGGCTGCAAAGTCTCAGGGTGAGAGGCCATTACAGACTACGAAGGGAATTCATGGTAACTGAGTGTGTGCAGAATTCAAGCTCTTACTCGTGGGGAGCACAGACAAGAGCCAATGAGGCGGCTATGGCACGGACTGCAATGGTGACGGTGGGGTGAGGATGGAGAACAGAAACTCCCAGGAGCTGGAAAAGCCTGAATGTCAATAGCAGCTGCAACAGGAACCAAGCACTTATGTTCTTGCTAGGGAAGATTTACCTTCTCAATCTCTGACCTTTCTTTTTAGCAGTGAGGACAAATATATATTCATGTATTTAGAACAAACGAGACTCTAAAGCTGTAAAAATGTTTTTAATGAGAGTAAACAAGAACAGC